GAGGGAAGGGCATGCCTTTAACCTGCATTTGGGTGAGGCAGAGACATAAAGTGTAACTATAATGTTTGTACCCTCACAAAACCCTGGAATAAAAAAAAATCAGAATGCTTTCTATTCATTAAGGTGGAAGGTCATATTTAAAATATCATTACTTAAGTCTACAGGTCTGCTTTCTTGACCTTCTAAACATCTTTTTTTTAAACAAGCAACTCTCAAAGTACATTAATTCTCAAATTCAAAACAATACAACCCCAAAGCAAGTCTATGCATTCATTATGTATGAACAATATTTAGTGTTAATAAAATTGTCTCTAAATGTGAAAAAAAAAGAGTTAAGGTTTATTTCAGAACATGTTTTAATGTGTTTAAAATATAATATGTGAGTCATTATTTTCAAAAAACATTCCCATCTTTCTCTCCAGGGGATTAATCCTCAGAAACTATAAGATATTGATGTTAATTTTTCTTTCCTGTAAAAAAATGATTATTTTCAAATAGATAAACAGATAATAGGTAGTAGATAGATAGAAAATACAGATAGATACATACATACACACACATATATATGTATTTATGTATATAAAGCAAACCTTTTTAAGCTTTTTTTACGTAAAATCACTCATCTTGCCTATTTTAATTTTTCATGATCTTAAGTGAGATAATTACAAATAGAAAAACAAATATAAATAAAAGATATATTAAAACTAATTTTCTAGCTGAAAGCCTCTCCTCTAAGAGCTGGAACAAGACAAAGGTTCTCAGTTTTGCCCCTTCTATTCAACATAGTACCAGAAGTCCCAGCCAGAGCAATCAGGCAAAAGAGAGAAATAAAAGGCATCCAAATTGGAAAAAAAATGATATCATTTTGTCCCTCTTTGCAAATGAGATGATTTTATGTCTAGGAAAATCTAAAGACTCCACCAAAAAACTGTTAGATTGGATAAATTAATTCAGTAAAGTTGCAAGATGCAAAGTCAACATACACAAATTAGTGGTGTTTCTATACACCAGTAATGAACTAGCTAACAGAGAAATCAAAGAAAGCACTCCCATTTACAATAGCTACAATAAGGTAAAGTATCTTGGAATTAATATAGCCGAGGAAGTGAAAGACTTCTGCAAAGAAAACCACAAAATACTGATATAAGAAATTAAAGAGGACACAAACAAATTGAAAGATATCCCATGCACATAGATTGGAAGAATTAATATCATTAAAATGACCATACTACCCAAAGCAATCAACAGATTCAATGCAATCCCTATCAAAATACCAAGGTCATTTTTCACAGAATTAGAAAAAATAATCATGCTTCTGGTCTAGATGCAACAGTTTTGGCACCTATCAAGCAGAAAGGTTGCTGGACTTTAATATTTTAGTCAGAGTTGTGTAAGCTGAACCAGTTGAGATATCTATGGTGTTGGCTATTGTTTCTGCTGTTAATCATTGGTCCTCTTCAATTAAGATGATGAATTTTTTTTCCTCTCCAATTGGTATGGATGGTCTGCTGCTGTGGGTTTCACCTATAACATTGCCTCATGCCTTCTTAAAATGAGTTATCCATTTGTAAGCTACTGATTTCTTTAGAGCATTATCACCATAAATTTTTTTGTAAAGCATCTACGATGTCAGTACTCTTCCACCCAAACTTCGTCATAAATTTGATGTTTGTTCTTACTTCAACTTTAGCAGAATTCATGTTACTCTGATAGCAAGCAGCTCTTTGCAAACTGATATTTTATCTTTCTTAGTGACTCAGATCCTGTTTAGACATGTTATAAAAAGTCAGTATGAGTTTATTTCGGTGCAAAAAAAAATTTGAAATCCATGTATATTTTTTTCATAATATACATTTTCCATGAACTTTTCGAAGACCCCTCGTATATATTACTGGTTTCATTTCTCTGGAGAACCCTTACTAATACCCATCCCGTCCTCTCCCCTCCCACCTGCCTGACACTCGATGAATGTTACTACTATATGTGCACATAAGTGTTGATCAGTTAGTACCAATTTGATGGTGAGTGCATGTGGTGCTTGTTTTTCCATTCTTGTGATACTTCACTTAGTAGAATGGGCTCCGGCTCTATCCAGGATAACACAATAGGTGCTAGATCACCATTGTTTTTTTGTGGCTGAGTAATACTCCAGGGTATACATATCCACATTTTATTAAGTCAGTCATGTATTGATGGGCATTTGGGTTGTTGTATATTCACACCTAACAGATGTGGTGCGCACCTTCTGGGGGATGGACATGCTTTAAGCTCTGACTCGGGTGGGGCAAAGGAAAGATATGTAACCTAAACATTTGTACCCCTGCAATATGCTGAAATACATAAATAAATAATACCTGATGAATTCAGTGATTCCTTTGACAGGTAACTTTTAGCAACTCTCTTTAGTCTCCGTTCCATCCTATGCACTTGCCCATTTCCATACAAATTATAGCTTCCTTGCCTGTGATTTTTGTTGTTTTGTATTTTTACTGATGACCACTGCCTAATTTACATAGTATAATGTTAAATACAAACATAAATACTTGCTAAATTCTTACTACATTAAATGTTAAAGATAATAAAATATTATTTCCTTAAGATATATATAAATCCACAAATATGTATATATCTACACACGTATATATAAATATGTATGTATACAAATACATGGAGGTGTGTGTGCAGATAGATTATGCAGTTAGAAAAGGTAAAATTTAGTATTTATTTAGTGCATGTGTTTATCAAAACATTAATCAGCAAATAGTCTTGAAAAGTATTGATGAAAATTCTATATTTGGAGAGGGTAAATTTTAGTCAAAAGATAATAAATTTATCATAGATGATCATAAAATCATAGAGAGGACATTATAGAATATCATAAAAAGATATTAATGGGTTGTTTATTATTCTAGTTAATCCTACCTACTTTCTACTACTTTCTTATTTCTACCAGAAATAAGAAATATTTTAAATTAGAAGGAAAAATAAGATTAAAAATGTTGAGAAGTGAATTAGAAAATGCTCATACATTATTATTCTAATGTTGTGTTTGCAGAGTAGTTGAAAAAAACATTTGCCCATTTCTATTGACTGTGAGGAAAAAATAAAAGATGCAGAAGAACGTGTACCAATACAGAGTCAAGATCTAAAACACATGAGATTATTGAATATTTTTAATTGTAAAATGAGGAAAGATTTGTCAACCTAGGTTCATAAATCTTGGATGGGCCTTGGTGGGAGAAGCAGTATATGGATCTGTGAATACTGTGTGCGTGTTTCTGGAGAACAGGTCGTTGTTTATATTAATGACTCCAAATGTTAGAGTAATTTTGTTGATAGGCGTCAGCTGCCTCCTGCCTATAGTCCTACCAGGAACTTGCATGATAAATGGGAGTTAGATGAGATATTAAATCCAATCAATATTCACCAGATATTGAATGAGAATCCTCGTAGTCCACAACTGCTATTATTTTCTGGGGATAACAATTTTAATAAAAGCACAGAGTCCATGGAGCTCCTCTACATAATTTCTGGACCATTTCTAAATGCAGTAAATAACATAATCTGTGACCAAAATTGAGGGCACATTAGAAGACATTTTGTTTGTTCTTTACTGCTTCTGACTGGAGTTAACTAGAAATGAGTACAAATATCCAGTTGAAAGTGGTTTAAGACAGTGGTAACTGATCATTTTGTTTCAGCACTCCACTATAGATTATATCTACTGTGCACTAACTTAAAAATATTTTTTCTTTCAAGGTAACTGAATTGCACAATATCAAAAATATAACCAGACTGCCTCGAGAGACAAAGAAGCATGCAGTGGCAATTATCTTTCATGATGAAACGTCAAAGACATTTGCCTGTGAATCAGGTAAGCAACTTTAAGCCCATCTACTGCTTTAGGAAATTGGGCTGCTTGTGAGACAATGGCCCAGACGGATTCAGGTACACTACTGAATAGGACGGCTTATTGTAATGAGAATGTGTTGCAGAACGCTTTAGCAAGAGACTCGACATACTGATTTCTACAGATGTTTTGGGTGCTTGTTATCTGTCTGTGTCTGGATTTTGCTCCCACGTGGTTTGAGGACTCTTGAGGTTTCCACTCAAGCTTTGAGAATTAAGCAAACAATAGCTGGCAGATGTTGTTAAGGGGAGCCTGTGACTAGTATTCTGGTTCTTGCCAAGCGTAGCTGTCGGCATTTGGTAGGGCAGTAATAATCCTGGCGTGCAATAGCATGGCAAAGCACAGCCTAGGTCCCCAGACGTTTCCAAACAGACCTTTGAGCAATTTGATTCTTTCACAGGTTCTTAGTGTTACGAGTAAATATACTTCAAATTGAATTTTAGTGTCCCACTTCATAAGGCACTGTGACATTATCAAGACACAAGGCAGTTTATAGCTTGAACTTGCAGTATTTTTCATGTTGGAATCCCTGTGCTATGTAATCTATTAGTTGGTGTATTGCTTTTTGCTCAATGAAATGGTACATTTGTTTTATAATGGATGTTAGCAAAAAGTATGAAGGGCTTGAAAGATGTGAATTTATATTAATAGGTGAGTCTTTAGGAGAATGTTTATTATTTTTGAAAAGGAAAATAATGCTTCTGGTTTTAAGTGAAGTATATGAATATAACTAATACCAGGTTATATGATTCTAAACTGACAATGTCACTTCCCTAACTAAAATTGTTCACACCTCCTCACCTGCACCTATCTTA